ATCATCACTTGTAAATAATTCTAATATGATTGGAACTATAAAAATATGAATAAATTATTGAGAATTTGTTACATCATCTATTTTTGTAAAAGCACTTTGAATTAGTGGTTGCATTCATGAAATTCGATATTCATGAAACAATCTGCATGAAATTCGGAATTCATGAAATTCATGGGATTCACAGGGTTCATGAAATTCATGAGATTCATGAAATTCGTAGATCAAATACCTAATATAGTAATAATTTATTTAACCAAATATTCATATTTAATAAAAATATAAAAAAACATTAAAAATGAATTAAAAAAATAAATATAAAAAAAATTTTTTTAATTATTAAAAACAGAAATATTATTTGAATTTCTTTTCAAAAATAATATCTTGGAAATAACATCATGGGATAATTTGTTCCTTCATGGTGTTATGTGATTTCCCACATCAGAGAATAAACGTTCAGAAGGTACAGATGTTGCATTGATACATAAATATTTTTTTGCTAGAATTGACATGATAGGAAATTCATCCTTTCTATCATTCCACCAGATCAATGGATCTACTTGTCTGGAAGCAGTTGGCAAAGAAAAATATTTTTCATATTCACTTTGTGATTCTTCATATTGTTGTAGATCATCAAATAAATTATCAAAAACTGATTTTTTTTCATTGGAGTTATTTCTTAAAGGAAGGATTACACTTCTTGAACAAGAAGGACTGCCAGAAGGACTGCTATTGTGTTGTTGTTGTTCTTTGATTAATTCATATTGAATTTTTAATGTTTGTAATATTCTTAAACATGTTCTTTCATCAAGAAATTTCAAATGTTTGAACCTTGGATCTAATGTTGATGTGAGCATTGCTAAGACAGAAGGATCAGACCAATAATGGTTTATTGATTTATATAATGTTGAAATTATTTTTTTATATATCTGTCAGTGTTCACAGGATTTGAAATATTAATTTTTTTTTTTCCTCCCCCCATTATTTTCCTCAAAAAACAGAACATCTCCTTGTTCATTTTCTTCTAATGATGGTAATGGTAATTGCTCTTGACATTCTGATTCTTCTTCATTTAAAATATCATCAGTATTAATTGGTGGGATTATATTATTGTTATCATTATCATCATTATCATCATTATCATCATTATCATCATTATCATCATTATCATCATTATCATTATTATTATCATTATCATTGTTATCATCATTATCATTATTATCATCATCATCATTGTTATTCATATCCACCGATTTCTGCAAAGTTACACGATTTTTGATCATTTTGAGGGGATATTTTGGGGATATTTTTTGTAATATTTTGACTGTTTTGAATAAACATTCCCCCTATTTTGTATATTTTGTACCCCTTTAACGTTCTTTTCAGAAATTCTCTAATACCAAACCAATC